TTTATTAAACACGGTTTTAACAACCTGAGCACTTATACATAGAGTAATTAGGAAAAAAATCTTACAAACAGGTACTTTGATTTTATTCTTCATGAAAGAATAGTTGTAGGTAAAACTTCTTCTACTCTGATGTGTTGGGGAAGGCGATTCTTCATCTCTCTCTGAACCAATATTTATATTCCTATTTTTCAATCTTGTTCTTTCTTTGTCCTTTCGTTGCACTAATTTTGAAATGTAATCTCGCTGTCTATTTATATCTCCAAGATTCCAATAATGAACAAATATCTCTTGTCTTTCATTTTCAGAAATGTTTTTTTTACATTTCATTCTACAATTACATGGGTCTTTTATTTTCCGGGATGGCTGTAGTTTTCCTTTCCAGGTTTTATATTCCTTTCCGCTATTTCGAGATGCCTTTATTAGATTTCTTCTCCAGGCACTTGGATTTTTTTCTTTTACGGGACGTTCTTTTTGATACTTCTTCTTGATAACCTTCCCCATCTGACAAAACAAATTCGGGATCATTTTCGTCATTTTCATAAGCATAAGGGTCAGAGTCAGAGGATGACATGTACAAATCGATTTCCAATATATTATTCTTATTCTCATTAACTAATTTGTTAGATCCTCTACTTTTGGAATCACAGGGTCGATCGCTCAAATTTTTTGGTGCTATTTCACAATATACATCGGAGTTAGTATTGCTTGGTGGCTTGAAAAATATTTCTGGACATATTGTTGTTTTTGATGCCTGATCATTTAGGTATGTTAAAGATTCCTTCAAATGTAGGTAGGGTGGTGGTTCTATATTGGTAGAATCCATTAACTTAACAGCATATTCAGGAGGTACCGTACCATCATTGGCCTCTGGAGTTGGAGTTTTATCTGAAACAATAATAATTTTTCTCATAACAAATTTAATATCCAACAAATTCTCATTGGGAAAAAAATTAGGCATATAGTTTGATGCTTAATTAAAATAATAATGATCCGGCATAAGAAGCTCGTGTTGAAAAAATAGGATGAAATTAAAAAAAGATCAAATAAAACAGCATGTCAAATAAAACAGGTGAATTTACCTTGTGGTTCTAAATTGGTCGAATCCATTGACATAACAGCATGATTTAAAGGTAGCGCCTCATCATTGTCAGTTGAATTTAAAGTTTTATCTGAAATAACAAAAAAGTTTTTTTCCATTACAAATATCCAGCAAAACTTTATTGATAAAATAATTTAGTTAGGGTTTATTTTAATAAAAAAAAAACGCGAGCAAACGAACAATACATTTTCTTACCTATACATTCGTTTTCCTTTCCTTTAAGCAACTGAAGTATTTTTGCACTTCTTGAGTTCATCTTCAATAATTTTTGATTGAATCAACAATAGTGATTCTTATTAAGCAAAACGCAAATAAACCTATGTACTGAAACTGCTATTCTATGTCCACTTGCACTTATGCATAACTATTCTATGTCCACTATGTACTTAACCCTAGAACGCTAAGCATATTTCTAACACTACTTAAGACTAAGCATTCGTAAATTTTACGACTTTTTTTTCGTGTTTTTTTTTTCATACCAAAACAAAGAATAGCCAAAAAATGTATTATTTATTAAAAATTGACATTAACATATCATTATTAAGAACATGTTTGACAAATTTCACCACGGTGCTCACTACAAAATGATTTTTTACAGTTTGAGCAGAAGTGAGTTGTCATTCGTCTTTTTCTTGAAGGGCACATCGCACAAATGGTTCTATTGGACTTGTTAGTAGCTGTTCTCTCTTCTAGAACTGTATGTCGGTCTTCTGTTGCTGTTTTTTCTAGAATCTGATTTATAGTTTCACGGAGTGAGCGCTGCAAAGTGGGTATTTTCACTCGTTCTTCTAACCATGGTGCCACTAAAAGTTTATACAACTCCAGCATGTATGCTTTTCTGGAGATCAATTTCTGTCGGCGTTTTGTTTTATGAGCATTGTACAAAATATAGCTATTTACACAGGCAATATTTAGCATGCCAAAGAAAAGGCATAGGGGCCATCGTTTAGTTTTTCTGGAAGAACTCATAATTGAACACATCTGGTCCAATGTATCCACTGCTCCTTTTGTCTGATTGTAAGTCTCAATAATTTCCGGTTTTCCTGAAGTTTTTGAAACACTACATCCTTGGTGCATAGTTGATAAAAGTAGAACATTTTTATTCTTCTTTGGAGTGTAGGAGACAAGCACTTTTTCTTTGTCAAAACAAAATTTAGAGCTGCCTGGATCGCGATTCTTGGTTGCTAACATTTCTGCTGGTATTTCACGTTTATTTTTTCCTAATGGTACCAACCATGGTAAGATTGTAAGGAGGAGCTAATAAATCATCAGCTAGTTTGACGGACGTAAACCAATTGTCCATTGTAATATTTCTATTGGACCCTGAAATAGTTTCACACAACGGTTTTACGTAAAATTCGCCCAAAGGCATCCCATTAGTGTTTGTGCTTTTACCCAAATATGGCATGGCGTCGAACATGTATTTTGTCGATACGTCGCATACCAAAACTATTTTATGCCATATTTAGAAGGCTTGTTAGGTATGTACATTCTAAAGGGACATCTTCCCCGAAAACCTAGCAGTTGTTCGTCAATGGTAACGTAAGAGCTTGGTTTGTATGAATGTCTGCATTGACTTATAAATGCATCCCAAATATCTCTGATAGCCGCCAATCCATCCGTTTTTTTTCTCTCCTCCCTTGTGTTCTTATTATCAAAACGTAAACAATCCAATAAAAACTTGAATCTTTCACGGCTCATGACTGCCTTGAATACTGCTCCAGATATTTTATCATCAAATAACTCTTTGGTCGACAAATGGTTACTTTTCAAATACGCTGACAATACTAGTAATCCTAGTAAAGCTCTTACCTCGTCAGGACTAGTAGTAGATATTGTAGCAGATTTTGCTTTATATTTAGCAGATTTTATTTCAATCATAGCATTTGTATGTAACACAATTTTATCAATCATAGAATCCGTTATGAATAGTTTGAAAAATTCGTTTGCGTAAGAATCGTTCTGGAAATTTATTACTGGACCCGGAAAAATATGAATTATATTTCGTTGCGGAGTTTTTGATGTCGCTTTGGGAACAGCACTCCATCGATGACCATTTTTCCCTACGAGTCTCACTTGCGATCGAATTGTCTCATCAACTCTTACGATTCTTCTTTGTGAACTTGTTTCTGTATTCAATGATTCATATTCTTGTTGTTCAGGTTCGTTACTTCTGGATGTTCCAGGTAACGAATCGTTTGCCATTATTTGATTATCCGCATGTTTCTTTATTTGATTGTTCATGTAAAGTCCTATTTTTTTTTGCTCTAGGAGGACTATATTCGTCTCCGTCCTCATCTTCTGAAGGTACGTATTCATTTTTAAATATGTTTTTCCTCGCATAATTTACTGTATATTTTCCTTTTTAAGTGATGAATAAAGTCCTGTTATTATTATTATTATGTTATTACTTCCACTGTCCTCAAAATCTTCAAACTCTATGACATCCTCTGTTTCGCTCCCACTTTCCTGGGCGCTGTCCTCATCTGATTCTAGAGTCAAATTCTCTGATATTTTCTCAAGTTCGGCTTGAGTAAGAGGTCTGTTTTCTTTTATTTGTTTAGACATATTTCTTAGAAATAACTTGCAAGTACTACAAGTTATATTTACAAAGAAAAAATCTGAAAAATAATGTATTTTTGTACAGCGCGATAAAAACAAAAGTTACGTTAAGACTAACCTTTCGTAAAATTTACGATATGCGTCTTATAGCTGCCAGTACGGTACACTTAAAAATCGACCAACACACACGGGCTATTCACCAACACTGAGAGAATAGCTAGACGCAGAACCCGATAGCTAACGGATCCGAACGATGGTGGCCGAAAATAAAAATCACCGTCGTAAAATTTACGAAGCTTAGCGTTCTAGGGTTAAATTGCTATTCTATGTCCACCGCATACTCGTGCAGAACTAGCCTATGTCCACTTAAGCTGGCCGAGATAGACGCGATCGCGGCGCTGGTCATAGACTGATTCTGCATTTAAACAGACAGCGCTACTAAACATAGGCTAGTTCGAGTTGTGACCGATTAGAGCGCTAGCTGTGAAGATGGACTTACGATACTTCTGCATCCAATAAAGAAGTACTTTTACTTTCAAATGTACTTAAAATATCAAAATGGCCAAAAATGGACATAGTGTCACGTTAAGTGGTTTGTTAGGCAAACCAATTAATCGTGGGGTACGCAACTGCGTATTTCGGATCGTCCAAACGATCTTCTAGTCGAGGAAGATCTTTGCGTCACCCGAAAATACTCACTGGAGAACCTTTCTTATGATTTACTGTTTGGCTTGGCTTTACGCTACTGAGGAAGGAATAAAAGTCACAGCATAAAAAACTACAAATCTTTAATGAATACAAACTAAAATCCCCTGAACTGTCCAGAAATCCCCAATATAATAATACACCCCAAATATACAATATATATACACTACAAAGACTTTAAAGAACCAACTGGTTACTTTTCTCAGAAATACCTTTTGAGCTTTTATTTTATTTTTTATTAGATTTATAAGATAACCTTACCACATATTTTAACAGCAAGCTGGAATGTCACGACTTTATTTTTTATTTTTATTTTTATTTTTATTACTGTAATACAGCAGAGTATTACCTACTGCCGATTTATGTCACAGCCGAAGAACTTATAGCCTCGGTTGTGCCAAAAATGTTATTTTTTGTTTTGTCAATTTGGCTAGCTGACCCCAACATTGTTTTGAAATTGTAGAATCACTTTTCGGAAAATATGTACATGCTTGTACTCCTGGTATAAACCCGATTTTGTTAACGGAGGGGAATTTTTTCATAAAAGTGGGAATTTTTAAGGTAAGAAGAGGGAAAAAGCTTACTTCAAGGTTGGTAACAGTGCCGACATCCGTCATTTCATTTATCATTTGATATTGATGGTGTGTCGTCAGGTGAAGAAAAATAAAATGGATAAAAAACGTCGTAATGCCAAAGTATCTCAAAGACATCAAGATGTTATGTGCGATTTTATCGCAATGAATAAAAAAATGCAGGTTAAGGGTGATACTTTAACCGATTGGCAAGACTTGTCAGATATAATAAATGAAATTCCTGGAGGAGCTAGGAAACCTGCTGAACAATGGCGAAGGGTAAGTTTTTAATTATTTAACTATAAATACAATGTTATTCACAGATGCATCTATTTATTAAACAATATTGGCATTGACAGGGTGGGGTTGTCTTTTTTCATTCTAACAAGAAATATCTTATTTTTCCTAACCTGCTATCAATCTTTATTTTTTCTACGGTTTTCTACCCCTTTTCAGTCTAATATTAATATACTTTAAAAAATATTTCTTTTGCAGAGCTTTATTGAATGGAAAAGCAAAACAAAAAAGAAAGCAAGGGACATTACTATATCACAGAATAAAACTGGAGGAGGACCTGGTTATGTAGAATTAACCGATATAGAAAAAAAAACTGATATCAGTATGTGGGAAGGTATCAGTTTTAGGTGATAGTGATGTTCCTGAGGGTAGATTAGATAATAATCACAATGAGGAGGTAGATTTGTGGGAGAAAGTACCTAATCTAACAGAAAGTATTGAAATAAATGATAATTTAGAACCCATATAACAAGTGGAAACAATCGTTATAATTAACGAAAATATAGAGGCAGAAACTCCTGCAAATATTAATCAAAGAGTAAGTGGAAAAAGAACTGTTAAAAAGGAAGGTTTAAATGATGCTTTAAAACAGTACAGTTCAAGTACAAACAGATTCGCTTCTAGTATGGACAATCTCGCCACTAGTATTAATAAACTCGCAGATTCAAATATTGCCATTGCAGAGATCATTAAAGAATTTGCAAATTTTAGAATTTGATTTTTTGTCTAGTTGTATTTTATAAATGCCAAATTTTGTTTTTATTTTATATATTTTTGAACATGCATTATTTATATAGTTTTTTAAGAGTTTATTTTTATTTAATATTACACATATGTACTGCATAGAAGCCAAATTTTAAGTTTATTTATTTTTTTTTTTTTTTTTTTTTGAACATGAATGTACACTTTGATGCATTCATATTTGTTGTTTGGGTACAGAAAAATAAACTTTTTTTTACTTTTTAAACATGATTTTTTTATTGAAAATGTAATACATTTAACCTTGTATTTTCAGCCAAACGTAGAAGATTTGGTTCTAAGTCTATATTTTGGAGTACGTTATCTTCATCTTGAACCTCTCCATCATCTTCATTTTGAACCACTTCATCGTCTAGGCCTATGTTATGCATAATGCATATGTTATGTAACACAACACATGTATTAATAATTTTTCCTGCCATTACAGGATTATAATTCAAAGTACGGTGTTTTAGTAAACACCTGAACCTCGATTTTAAAACGCCTATGCACCTCTCTAGACAATTTCTTGTCATGCAATGACCTCTAGTGTATCGTCCTTCAGGGGTATTTTCAGGTGCATCTACAATTGGGGTCATTAGCCATGGCTGTAGAGGGTAGCCTGAATCACCTAATAGAAATGTATTTCTTTGACCTCTTAAATACTGTTCATACAGCCGCCTTCTTATATTTGAAGTCTGCCAAATAGCTGCATCATGTGTTGAACCTGGGAATCTGGCACTAACTCCTAGTATTTTTAAATCTGCATTGCAGATCTAAAATTGAGGAGTAATTAGTTTAAATAAGTGATTATAATTATATTTTTTACCAATTGAGTATTTATGCTGTAGTAATTCTTTCTATTAAGGTAGACTACACCAGGTCTTACAGGGTCATCAGATTTGGGCTGAATTGTTGCTATATGTGACCCATCAATACATCCAATAACATTTGGAAAATAAAATTTTTCCATAAATCTAAAAAATAAATTAAAATATTTTTCTTACACTTGTGTTTTCAGTATACCTTGCTTTTTTATTGTCTATTTCTTGTTGGTTAATGGGAAATTGAACGTAATTGTTCAAACTGTTAGCTGAAATAACATCACTAACCAATCTAATACACCTGCTCACTGAAGGTTGACTTAAGGCGATGTTATAGAGTCCTGACCTATGTTAGATTGGTAGCTTCCCTTGGCAAAAAAGTATAAAGCACAACAAAACTAAAAAAAAGAAAAATACTTAAGAACATATATTGATAATTTGATTTACCTACTTACTTTTAAATAATTGGGAATAGCACTTAAACGATGGTGCTCTTGTTGTTGCTCCATAATTGGCTCTATCTCTTGAAATAAAGCTAAAGCTGAAGGAGCAGTTAGCCTGAACATAATTTTAAAAATATGTTCAGGTAGACGAAATGGATCACTTCTATCCCTAAGCAGCCTTTGCTGAAGTCTTACTTCGTTCCTAAAACAAACAATTTAAAAAAGTGCACCTATTTACTTTTGATAAGTTTCTATTTTCTTATCAATACACATACCTGTCATTAATTTCTTGGTCTATTAAAATATTTATTATCCAAGGGTCCATGTCTCTCATCAATTAGTTACACCTAACTAACCCAAACAAGAATTAGATCTATTCTGTATAACAAGATGGAGAAAAGTCGCTATTCTGGAATTCAGGGTTGCTATAAAAATAATACAACTTGTATGTATAGTGTAAATTAGGCTTTTAACAACTTAACCTTCGAGTCTAGAGGACCGCCTTCGAGTCGAGGAGACCGGGGCGTCAAGGAAAATGTAATTTTTCATTTGGAAATGTTTACATTTTGTTGGTGGGTGGACAGACTTCATATTAAAAAAAAATGCAGTAGTTTTAAAATTTCACGAAGACAGCAAAGTTTATTATGCAATTTTACCGCAAGCAGACCTGATGTTTAACGATCTGAGAAGAAGCTCCTAGATATCTTTCGGTGACGTTGTCAACTGGTAAGACCATATGGCGGGCTGAAAGACTGCTCCTGGAGAATGCACAATGGGATTATCGAGGCCTAAGTGATGTAGCGGTTAACCAAACAACCCTCCCCACCTTACAGATAAAGATCACAAACAAGAAATAGTAACTTTTGTTGAACAATTCATTCGAAAAAAATAATTCATGTACCTATTTTACTTCTGATAAGTTCCTATTATCTTATCAATAAAACATATATCCCATTAATTTCTTATTTTGGTAAAATATGTATATCCAAGTGCCCATATTTCTTTCTCAGCAACTAGTTGTTAGGCTTAACCACCAAGTTAATTCGGAATCCACTTTTATAACCACTAGTTGTTACATATCTGTACCTCAGAACCAGAGTATGTTAAGTCCAAAAACTTTATTTTTCAGTAGAGCTGTTTAATTAATTTCGTATTATATTAGACTTTTTCAAATTATGAAACACTGATTTTACTAAATATTGTAACTATTTCATAATTAAATAAGTTTTAGGCATAAGAATAAATGGCATAATGGCAAATTTTGGTTTTGTTTTTTGTTTTTGATTTAAGTGACTTAACATAGTTTTGTATAAACAAAAAATATTTTTTTTGGATTTAACACGCATGTTAAGTACAAAGGTATGGACTTGACATATTTACAGTGGACATAACATTTAGATAAATCGGAAGGCAAAAATACTACCTACTTATTTATTATATAATTTAATGCTTAAGTGATTACAGTTTGGTCTTTTAATAAAAAAAAATTATTTTTTATCCATCATCTTCGTTATTTCCATATTCCAAATTTTTGTAATAGTCATGGAATCTTTTTGGTACCCATTTTAGAAGTTTTTGTAAATGGCTGTACTTTTTAGCTGAAATTTTTTTAGGACCCTCCCTAATTGGTGAAATCACTAAAGGAGCATAGTCATTTGGTTTGTTTCTTCTGTGAAAGTTAACTTCTGAAAAATCCTTACTAAAATCGGTTTTGTAGTAGATGATTCCAGGGTTATTTCTTCTTACTTGCAAGTGAACTGCATGAGATATCAGAAAATCGTTGCCTGCGCTGTCTTTTTTCTTGTTGATATATAGTGCAGTTGATCCCTCGAATAAATGTTTAAATTCTTTAAAATCAGAGTATTCCATATTGACTACGGTGAATTGTTTTTTTGTTCCACACAATCGGACCATCTGCTGCCAATCCCAAGGGGTTATGATTTGAAATTGTGAAAGTTTCTTTCTTTCACGCTCTATCGTGGAGTGAACGGCATCAGCCTCCAAGTGTGTATGTCCTCTGGCTAGAAACTTGTGATTAACAGCAGTAATATTTGGCTTAATACGCAGGATCAAAAAATAACACATAATCATTAAAATATTTCTATTTTGACTCGGACAGTTATCCGACCAAATTGTTATTTCCTTGACTTCGTCTGAAACGTTCTGTTCAACCCATTTTATTAGACAAGATGCAATTTCATTTCCTCCCCGTCCGGCTACGCTTTCATCCCACATCATGCAGAAACTTTTTTTACAAGTTGCATCTTGGATAGTTAAGTTATATGTCCATAGCTTTAGAGAGTAAAAGCTCTGTGAATTATGTAAATCCGGTGTCGGTAGACATTTTTGAAGGTCAATCATTATGACTTTTTCTTGTAAGTTATTTCTCGACTTTCTTTTATCTTCCGATTTCAGTTTGTATCTGTTAGTCGTATCTGCAAGATGCTGATCGTATTCAGTTTGTAGCTTCTTTCGAGAATCAAGTGATTCTGACTCACGAATCTGAAGCTGAAGTTGATCACATAAGTCACAGGTGTCGTTGTCTGGGCTCTTGAATGAATAGTTATATTCATAGTTGAAAATCTCCGAGTACAGCCACTCCTTTGCAATACTTTCGGATCCAAAACCATTTTCTTTACATTCTTCTAAGTAAAGTCTATACATCCTACTTATATTTAAATGATTTCCCAGGTACTTCTTCTTGGTTCTTTCCCGAGAGTAATGGGATTCGTACGTTGGAAATTTTGAAATGTGGTTTCGAACATTTTGTCGAACTTCTTCTGAGATTTTGTTTGCAGGTTGGTGCCTTCCTCTTTTATCAGGCGTTACAATACCTCCTTCCTTTTTCTTTTTAACTGCAGTGTCTACTGTTTGCTGTGAGATGCTTAGGGTATTTAAAAAAAACTTCTTACAAACTGTTTCTTGTTTTCCTTCTGTTTCGAAGCTATAACAATTGGTAAAGATTCTTTTTCCTCTTCTTTCACCAGTCTTTTCTCTGCGTCTTTTTATTGGTACCTGTGTAACTATAGATGCTATGTACTGTCTTCTCATGTCTACTGTTTTTGATGGACTCCAAAAATTGGAATGTATAGTCTGCCGGCGTTCTTCAGGAAATCTATTTTTACATGAGAGTTTGCAATTATCGCCGCAAGATTCTTTTAGGAACTTTGGGTTCATAACACGACTTCCGCTATCGGTTTTGTATCCCAATCCTGAGTACCGTTTCCTTTTCGTAACATTCTTCTTCCAATTCATTGGGTTTGCTTTCCTTTTGCGAGTTAGGTTCTTCTTTGCCTCTTCGTTTTGGTCCTCGTCAGATTCATTTTCATCGGAATAGTTGGGGTCCGCCACATCATCATCGTCGTCAAAATCTACAAATTCTCTTTCAGGACTTCTATGTAGCTCTTCGTCATATTCAGGAGTGACGTGCAAAACTTCTTGGGAAATATTTGGTTCTTCGTCTTCATTGGGACTTTCTATGAGATCAGCATTTTGTACTACTTTTTCTTGTATATTTTTTACTGATTCTTTGGGAGT